AGATGATAATGACAATGACAAACAATAACCAGCATAAACATTATAAACTCTGGGAAACAATATAATAATATTATACATATTAAAGGAAAATTTGTACAAAAATAGCATGTTCTAATACAGTAAAATTAAGACACCATTTTACGTCAGCAAGCTATTGCAGCAACGCAAAAACTTGCTACCTTAGCTGTAACCTCCGGCTTCTGATCTGCCAGGAGATAATCAGTGTAGAATGTATCCAAATTGCCTGGTATTTTTTGCAAAATTGGAACTATAAAGTGCCGCTGCAAATCTTGATAGATGGTACAATGCAATAAGACATGGCACACAGTTTCTACCTCCCCAGTCCCACAAGGACATAACCGTTCACAAAAAGGTTTTTTTTTTTTTTTGTTATATCTTCCTGTGATTAGAGCCGATGGAAGTACATTGAATTTGGCCAAAGTAAAGGCCTTCCTATACTTTGGATTTGTTAAATTTTTCAAATATGTAGCAATGACAAGGCCTCTCCCACTGTCTTTAAACACTGAGTGTAGGGATGCTGCACACATGTAATTTTGTAATTCTATATCCAATATGTGTTGACGAATATTCTCTTTGGCCTTTGCATACCCCATGGCAAGAATAACAGATTGAGAGAAACCTAAGAATTGCACTTTTTTCTTAACTAATTTTATCCATCTTGATTGAAATGTATCAATAAGAGTCAAAGGAGCTAAACCGTTGGGGGTAAATAACAACTTTAACCAATAATCTAACTTATATATCCATATTTGTGCTTCAATAGAGATTAAACCAGTTTCCAATCTAAGTGAAACATGTGGCACGCAGTTCGGTAAACTTAGAACAGATCTCAAACATTTTGTTTGAACAGTTTCCATAGCGATAGTATTTTTAAATAGACATATTTGTGCACCATATAACATTTGAGAAAGGATCTTTGCTTTGAATACCTGTATGGCAGAGGGGACATGTTGTCCACCTTTGCTGTAAAAGAAGGAAATAAGTGACCTATAACTTCATTGTATATTTGTAACAACGTAAGAAATTTGAGCTCTCCAGGTGCCTGTACAATGAAAAATTACACCCAAATATTTATAGAATTTAATCTGTTCGAATTGGTGTCTATTAACTTGCCATTGGTGTTTACTTTTTTTTTTTGGAAAAGATAAGGACTTTAGATTTTTCGTAATTGATTACTAGTTGTTCTGTATTACAATGTGTTCCCAGAGTTTTTAAGAGGTGTCTCAGTCCTACACAGGTTAAAGATAACAGTGTTGCATCATCAGCGTAAAGAAGTGTGGATACTGACCTCCCTGTCAATTTGGGTGAATGAAAATTTTCTCCAGACAAAGTTTCAATTAATGAATTAATGTAGATATTGAACAAAGTAGGGGCCAAAACACAACCTTGTTTTACCCCTTTATATGTAGGTATTACCTTTCTTAAAGGCCCTTCTTGATTACATCTTACTCTCAGGGAAGACTTCTTATGAAAGTCAATAGGCGTCTATCAATACTATCAATATCAATAGCCTCCAATTTTTGCCATAATCTGTCTCTTGGAATTGTATCAAAAGCAGATTTAAAATCTATAAATGCTGCATAGAGTGTCCCCCCCCCACAGGAGATGAATATTTGTCTACAAGATGTTGCAATATGAAGCCCTGATCTATTGATGAACGTCCTTGCCTGAAGCCTGCTTGTTCTTCCCTCAGAAAGTTGTCTTCTTCTAACCAACACAATAATTTTTCTAAGAGATAGCTCGCATACAGTTTACTAATTATACTCAGTAGACTGATGGGTCTATAATTGGCCAGATCAGATTTTTGTCCTTTTTTAAAAATTGGCACTATTATTGCCAAGCCCCAGTCAGATGGTATTGAAGCTGTCTGATTTATATGGGTAAATAAGGCAGCTAGAACTGGTAACCACCTAATATTTGATTTTAACAGCTCAGGAGGTATATGATCATATCCAGGGGCTTTACCAAGTTTTAGTCGTGCAATAAGACTAGCTATTTCAGATGTTGAGACAGGTGGCCAAGTAGGAAGATCTTCAAGAATCAGGGGAATTGATTTATCTCCTGTTTTTCTTCCAGCATACATTGTACTAAAGTATGCTTCCCAAGTTTTTACTGGGATATGGGAATCTAGACAATATATATTATTTTTCCATCCCCTTGACACTATATTCCAAAATGTGGCAGAATCACGTGTATTTGATGCAACTATTAATCTTTGCCAATTAGTTCTTATCGCCTGATTCTTTTTTCCTTAATTAGTTTTTTGTATTTTTTTTTAACACAAACCAATCCTTTGGTAAAGATGTCATAGCAGAGTTTCTATATTGCCTATATTTTTCCATTAACATTCTTTTTAGATTTCTACATTTTTTATCAAACCAATGGTTAGTTTTAACATGTTGAGTATTATGTGTATAGGTATTTTTTGCAAGAAGACAACCTTGAATATGTGTTATTAACTTC